TCCAGACGCGGAGGGCAATCGACGATAAAAACCGTTTTATGCACGCGCGCACATATATCCGTACGCACACGTGTATACACGCGCACGCGCACCGCGCGTTTATTTATTACGCGGGCTTTTTACGACCCTGGCGCGCGGTATATAAACCGCGCGAGCGGAACCCCTCGATCGCCGCCGCGATACTTTTACTCCGGGCACAATAATAATAATAATCCCGCACTTATCCCGACGCGATGTTCCCGCGCCCCCGCGAATCAATCGTCGGCAAAATATAATAATAAAATACGAATTCGCACGTACAACGAACCCTCTCCATTCTCTTCCCCCCCCACCCCCGACAAATCGGTCGAGACTGTACAATAATGCGCACAAGTTATACACGAATCGTGATGGACGCGTACCGCGGTGTGCGGTTTTCAAATATTTCCGCTCGGCCGAAACGATTTTATCCGCACGAGGCCGACAATGAAACCGGGAAAACTCGAAAACGTTAAATGCCTAATGCAAGTGGCTCGGAAATCTTACAGCGTCTAAAAAAGAGGCTTATACACCCAGTGTTCTACATAAATTTCACGTCTCGGCGATTATTTTTCGGTCGAATCAACAACGATTCGCAGTACACTTTGTCGTTTTTCCGCATATTTATCGGTGTAGAACTGCAGGGAAAATCAAACAGTGACCTCTTCCTACTAACCGTCTATGGATCGAAAACGCCATAAATAAAAAAAAAAAAAAAAAGGAAGAAAGTTCTTTTGTAATTTTTCGATCGGATTTCCGGTATACGAGAGTTATTACACAGACACAACGAGTAAAAGACAGACGTCGCCACACGCCGCCGGGATGTATTCGCGCTCGTCGCGCTCAGAATTCAAACACGTAAACGGTATTCTACGGTACGGTCGTACGCGGAAAGTTCATACGGAAGTCGCGACTGTATGCGCTTCTCTGGAAATCCGAAGTATTCGCAATGCGGAAAGTCTCCCGAAGAGCCGAAACCCCGCGGCGCGGGGGTTTCGCGTACGGTCCCGTACGGGAATTGCGATTTACACGCGGTATTATCGTAAACGCGAAATCGGTATGGCGTAAAACCGCGTTTCCGTATAATCCCGGGAAAACTCCGGGAAACGTCTTTGCGGAACCGCCGCGGGAAGTCCCGCAAGTGCGCGCGCAGGGATTCCGGGGCGTCGCGGCCGGGTTCGTTCGTCCGTTTGCGCGTGCCCCCGTGTACTCCGCGGGACCAGCCCGACGTCGAGACACGTACGGACGGGGTGAATCGTTACTTTCGAATTGCGTTACGGCCGCGACAATACGCGGGCGTGATGGTACACTCGCGTACGCGACGATGGCGTCATGACGTCGTGCCGTTGCGGCGCACGCGCGGCGGCGGAACCGGTCGAAACCGTCATAACGCCCGTGTTCCTCGTGGGATCGCGACTTTTTGTGATCCCGATGTTACGGTTATCGCGTCGTAGGTTTTTTTTTCGGCCGACGCGCGTTGAATTTCGCACCAGGCGGGGAACGGCCATTCGACCGCTTTCCCCTCCCCCCGCCCCGCCCCGGTTGTACGCGTAAAATTCCGATCGCGCAGCGAATAGGCGTTTCACGGTAAACCGTGCACGGGACGGCGTCGTCAGTGTCGGTGGCGGCTCGTCGGACCGAGCGCGACGAGCAGTCGGCGCTAAGTTCGCCCGGCACAACAGTGTATTTACGCAGGCATAAACGGCCGTCGTCTTCGGGCGCTATAAACGATAACCGCGACGCGTCGGGAAAAAAATAACACCCGGTCATTGATAATGACCGCTTTACCGTGCTGCTTCCCGTTCCCTGTGCTATTGCACACGCACGCGTATAGCGCCCCTACAACCCTTGACTCGCGGCGTTCGCGAGCCGCCGCCGGGCGTTGTGCACCGTCGTCGTGTGTAACGCGTGAACGACGGTGGAAAATAAAGAACGGGAGGGAAAGGGGAGGAAAAATGTGAAAACACGTTCGGTCGGTGTCGCATCGTCTCGACGTGTAATATATCACGCGCGCGCCACGCTTCGGGACGATTCATTAAACACGCGCCCGTCGTTTCGTCACCGGGGGCCGGATTTCCCATTTTCACCTCTGCCGCGACACAACTAATAACGCCGACGATAATGCGGCGGATCGCGTACACTCATATACCGTACGACCGTAGCGGTTTGCGTCTAGACGGAACGTTCGCCCCGAGGACCGGGAGACGTGGTCGGCGGTCCGAACGGGCCGAGAGAGAGAGAGAGAGAGAGAGAGAGAGAGAGTGAGTGAGTGAGAAATGTAAGCTGATATAAAGTCTATAGTGTATGTGTATGTGTGTGTGTGTGTGTGTATGTGTATGTGTGTGAGCGAATTCGCACCCCGAGGACGGCCGATTAAAACGGTCCGCGTATTCATATTATGCAGCGTAGTGTTTTTGTCCTCGAAATGAAACCTCGCCCGCCGTAACGCGTTTTCACGCTGGATGTTCCGCCAAGACGTGTATATAAATGTGTATAATAAATCGCTATAAATAATAATAATAATCGCTAATACGTTTTCGCGGTCCCGAACCGATAAGGCGTTTGTTTACATTTCCGTGCCGAACAGTCGGTGGCCATTATATAGACGGGCATATTGAAATGTTTTTTTTTTTTTTTTTCATCACGTTTACGCTCGCCCGTTTGCCGACGACACTCCGCGGTTCGTCGCTTATAATAATAATGTCATATATCGGTCGCGTTTATCGAATTCTCACGGGCAGCAAAAGAATACTGCTGCAGGAATCAGCATCGTCAAACGATCCTGGCCGACGTTTATTCCGAACACGCCTTTCCGCTCGCATTACGTAATGTTATGGTGAGCGTCGACTCGGAAAAAAAAACATAATGCAAAGTTCGCGCGAATATTATATTCACGTTTTGCGTTTTAACATGTTAAAGAGAAAGCAAAATGAAAAAAAATAAAAAATAAGCGTCTGATTTTATATTAATGTTTTTTTTTTCTTCTCTGCACTCGTACGCGCGTTTTTTCGCGGATTAAATGCCTCGGGTCGGAAACGCCTTTCGCGAAATTATATTATCGCCGCCGCCGGAAGAGCTTTTAAAAGGAAACCAATTTTTTTCCTCCACGCGTCACCCCCTTTCGCCTTTGGTGATTGCGTCTCGGCATTTACACGCGCACAATATACTTGTGTGTGTGTGTGTACGACGACAAGGAGTGTGATGGGTAGGTGGGTGACGACGGAGAGTGCAGAAGGAGAGGCGACCGCCCCGACGACACGAGCGCAACAATGTCGAGGGAGCGCGTGCGGGAAAAACAAACTTAAATCCTTTGCAGGCGCGCTACGGCGTTATATTTGGGATATAAAAAGACCTGCGGGAAAGAGAGCCGGAAAAAGCTGGAGAGAGAGAGAGAGAGAGAGGAGTTCACGAGAGCAGAAGCAAGACTAATGAATAATATTAAATTCTACACAAATCCGGGGGAGGGGAGGACGGTGAGGAGGTCGTCGGGCGGAAAGGGATCGGGATGCACAAATAAACAATAATGTTGATGGCGAGGATTATGGCGGCACAGTCGTCTGACGGGCGGCGGCGGGGTGGTGAAAGCTCGCTGAAAAAATGTATAAAAGAGACGGATGTCTGCGCTCTCGCCGCGTGTACGTTATTATTATTATTATTATTATTATTATATATACATATATATATACGTTATACACGTATATAACTGTATACACTGTCTGACGAGGATTTTTTTTTATTCTCCTTCTTATCTCGTTCACCGGTGGCGTATGAGCTCCCCGGTATCCGTTTCGGCGTCCGGGAAGCGTTTTCCGCGTTTGCGATTGGTCCGTGTCGATCGCGAGCGCGTGCAAAAACGTCGTACTTAAATATTATTCGTGTTGTTTCGCTGTAAGGGATATCGATACAGTTTCGAAGCGGCGATTCGGACTCTAAATATAGTTACATCTTTTTTATTATTATTATTTTTTTTTTTTTTTTTTTTTTTTGTGCATAAAATGCGCGTTCTCGAGTGTTAACGCAGCTCGCCGCAGAGACTTGAACGCGCCCGCGTTTTCGATTTCCGTGTTACTTTTTTTCGTCCACTAGCCCAGCGCTAGTGACGAAATTTCTAACAGTTTGCGACTTTGCTATATTATAGCCGCGTTAATTATCGAACCGTATCGTCGTGATACCGAAAATGCCCCCGCAGATTCCCGGGGGTCGTAAATATAAAGAGCCTGCTGACCGCGTATAGAATGGACCGGGACCGGGGTACAAATATCAATTTTTAACGAGACGTGATGAGCGGTTCGTCTTTATCGCTGTCGCGTAGGTCTGCAGTAATGTTATTGTCATTTGTCGGTTTTGTCGTGTTGTCTCGACTCCATTTTTATGTGTCTTCATGTTGTTTACATTATTTTAACCGTGTTTGTTTTTTTTTTTTGTTTTGCAGGTAAGTACACGAGACTATATACCTACTTTTGGACCGGTAAACGGGGTACGTACACTTTCACGGCCTGCATCACGCATCCAACACGGCAATACGCGTACCAGCACACCACGGCGCAGGGTTCGTTAAAAACCGTCCGACGAAAAAACGTCCGCGTACAAGAATGTCTACAGCGAGAAACTCGCGATATTTTTTTCATAATTTTTGTTTTCAACAATTTTACTGATCACAACCGTATACTATGTAACTGTACGTGCGAATTAACGCGCGACGTATGCGATCGGCCCTTTCGGATGCCGTTCAGGCCCGTCGGCCGCGGCTCGCCGTGCTCGGCCGTGCCTCGTAATCGTTTGGAATGTCGCACCAACAATATCATTCGGTCGGTTTTCCGCTGGACATTTACGTACGCCGACGACTTTGGCACCGGATATCCGCTCGCGCGCGCATGCCGTCTTCTCCGCTCTCTCTCGGGTTCGCGAGGCGGCGACGCGACCGAGAGGAGAGAAACGGCGGGGCGACACGATTAATCGCGGCTTTTTTTTCCACGCTTATTTAATACACGCCTATATAACACAATAACACGATTCCCGCTCGTTCGCGACCGTTCGATCGGACCGATTGACCGCATTGGCGCCGGTGTTGTAATTGGTATTGGTTTGGTTTTGTTTTTTTTTTCCGTTTTTTCGTCGATATAACAAAACAATATGCGCGGTGCTTGTATTTATAACGCGTCGTCGCACGCGATCGGCAAATCGTCTTAACACCGCAATAACGTTTTACTCGTCATAACGCATCATTTGATGTGCACACGAAAAATTATACGCGACTAACAGTCTAATTGTGGCGAGAACGGGATTTTCTAATAACACATTTGTATAATCGTGCAGTTAAATGTGCGCACACGTGGAATATCGTATTGCCCGTGGACCACTGTGAGCATAACGTATGATCATAATATTTTATACGAATACGGTTTTGCAAATTTTCCGACCCGTACGCCACGTGCCGTCCGCCGCCGGTCATCGGCGTTTTTCGTACGAATCTCCGCAGTGTATAACAACTAACGTTTCGTTTCGGGCGGTTTTCGGGACCTTTACGCTTTGCGGGCGTTTAATTTTTACAGGTGTTCTCGTGCGCGTTTTCTCCGTTCGGCCAAGGAAATTCTAAAGTCCGTATTGTTGTACGTTATGTGTACAAATCGTACGCTAACCGAGAGGGCACGATAATACTGTAATTTCGTGGAAGGGTAGGGATGGGATTGGGAGGGAACGCCCGATAAGAGTATAAAGTCCGGGAGACGGACGGACAGCCGCGAGCCGAGCGAGATGTAAACATTTAGATTTTTTTTTTTTTTTTTTAATATACCGGTAGGCGGGAACGTGTTTAAATCTATGTGTATACAACACGTGAAACGAATATTATTTTGTTCAACGATTCGTACGAAAAACGTTTCCGACACGCGCGTTCCGAGGAGAAATAAAAATAATAAAAAAAAAAAAAAACAAAAAACAAAACTTTTTTCGTTTGAAGGTACGTTTCATTGACGGTCTTTGATCTTTTTTTTTTTCTTCGCTGTTGTCTTGTCGCATTTCGTGTTTGACTACTGCAGCAAAAACCATACACTATACACGTATCACCTCGTACTCGCCTTTCGCTTAATGGCTTCTAATAACTTTCCGTGCATTATCTTCTCTACCCGAAGACGCGCGCTTTGATCGAAACGAGACGACGCCGAAATGATTCACTGAGCTGAACTTTTTAGATTGGTGTTGGGTACTATATCACGTGCGGTTTTCCACGTGTGTTTTTATTAACGATTTTTCTACCGGAAATGTGGCTCCGGTCAAAAAATGTTTCGGAACTCGTAGAATTTTCGATTTCGTCGGTACCACGAGGTGGTCGTTTACCGAATTTTCTCGTACTTTTCTCGGTGAACGGATAAAATCGGATTTTATATTTATTTATTTTTTTCGTATAATTTTCGTCGACTTTCGCGTTTCCTCGGCGACAAAGGATAAAAAATGACTGTAATAACGCTTCGCTCAGAATCGTTTTTCGTTGAAAACTGAAAACTGAAAACTGAATTTCAATCGCTATAAATACGCGGCCCCTCGCGACTTTCCCCGTCTATAACGGCGGCGCGTCGGCGGTGTCGGCATTTTGTTTTCCGTCGCCTCCTCTATGTCTATCGTGTGCTCGCGTGCATAACATATCTCGCTATGAGTTTCGCGCTCGGTACCGCGTCCAACAGACAGAATTCCGCGATTATTTCGAATATAATGTGTAGCGTGTAAGCGACGGGCGGGCGCGCGGATTATATGCGTACCGAAAATCGTCGAAAATTGACGTTGTTTCTCATTATACGCATCATACGTGTGTACGTATGCGAAAATATATAAGTTCGCGACGGCACACCGCGGTAAACACAAGAAATCATTCGCGGGCGCCCATCGCCGTCGCCGGGGAAAGCGTTTCGGATCGCTTTCGTATCGGCCGGAACAATGCGCGCCCGGTGAAAAGATTGCGATAACATCGATTTCCATTCGCGCGCCTCGGCCGTGGCACGGAAAACGTCCGGCGACTAAGTAAAAAAAAACACCGACTAGACCGTATTAATATTTGTCACGTCATAGAGACGGCGGGCGCGGGGGAGTCACGCCCGTGTTAATACAGATGAGCGTGCGTGCCGAAACGCGCGCCGTTTCGCATTGTCGCGGGACGACTGGACGGTTTTCGGATTTTATTTATTTATTTTTTTTTCTCACGTTATCGCGCCGCCAGTGTATACGTGTACCGAGCCAAGCCAAGCGTGTTGCGGCGCGCCGGTGTAAATGGCGGATACAATAGCGTTCGCGGACGGCCGCAACAACGACGCGTCGTTTCCGCCGATCGATTGTCCGAGGAACAATAATGAAAACGTATCGCGATTACGTTTTAATGCGTTTTAAGCGTATTATTATCGCGGGGTGACGACGCAAACGCCGTGTTAAAATGTCGGTAAAACAAGAGTCGAGTTTTTTATTTTCTTCTGTTCTCGACGACGGCGCGTTCTCGTAACGCCCCGCGTTTTATTCGCGTTTTCCTGTAAACGAAGCGTAGAGAAGAAAAATAAAAAAATAATAACAAAAAAAAAAAAAAAACCGCCTTCGGATATAGCACGAACGAAATAAACGCGCATCGGACGCGCACGCGCACCCGTCTCCGCCCCGCGCATTCGATTTCGGTCGTGTTACGCGCACGAGACTCGACCATCGCGTTCGCACACACACACACGAACGTTTACATAGAATTTTTTTTTATTTTTTTTTTCTTATAAACGAGAAGAGTCGCGCGCGCGCGAAATCGTGTAATGATATTCGTTTATCTCGTGTGCAGTCGCCGTCGTCTGCCGCCGCGGACCGCGAAAAACCCCCGTTCATCGTGACGGCGGCGGTCGAATGAAAAAACACAAAACACAATAACAATAATAACAATGAAAAAAAAAAAAAAAAAAAAAACCCGGAGAAAAAAACCTCCCCGAGCGTGCGTGTATCGTGACGCCGCGCCGGGTCGTCGCCGGGCAAAACTCGCGGTATCGCGCCGGACGATCTCCCTCCCGATCGGCTACGCGGCACGCGGATACGTGCGGTTTTTTTTAATTAAATTTCGTTATTAGTTACCCCAGTTCCCTCCCCACCCCCCCATATGCCCGCCTCCGACCGCGCGTAATATTCACATTCGGTCGGACGTTTCCCGAGAGAACCGGACACGATTTTTCTTATTAATCGGGTCCGCGTATCGCCAGTCCACACGATTCTCCCCCTCTCCGCCTCCACCCCTCCACCCCATCGTCCCTCCGCCCAGCCATCGGAATTATCGTAACGCGACCTGACCTCCGCGGCGCCGTCCGTTCGTCTCGATAGATTCCGGTCCGCGATTATACATTCGAACGATTCGGCTCTCTTCCGGTCCCGAACGAATCGATCACAATTCACGTATATTATTATAATATCATATGGCGACCGTTATTGGCACCGTTCCGTTTTTTTTCCTCCGAATATCGCCGTACATTGTACATCGCCGTTGTTCGTTAAAACATCATTTTTTTCTCGTTTCGCCGTCTGACATAAATAAAATTAAAAAAAAAAAAAAACTCGTGTATACCGCGTGAAATCGTACTGCGGTACACGACTCGTTTTGTCGCCCGACTTAAACGCGCGGTCGCCGTATATATTCGCAGCAACCGCAGCAGCACTAGGTAACAAGATATTATGTACCGAAATTCGTTTTTGATTATTGTCGGCGCAAGCTACCGGCTACACGGTACTATGTATATACGTTATACTGCGGTAACAAAACGTGAAAAACAAAAAAAAAAAAAAAAATAATAAAACCGAATACAACGAATCCTCTACACTGCACCGGTCCGCCGCCGGCCACCCAACGCCACACGCGCCGAATTAAAACCGTTCAACTGGAAATCGCGTCTGACGCCGCCGCCGTCACCGCCGTCGTCGTCCGTGTACGAAATATCACAATGCAGTTTACCGTAAACGAACGTGTCGGACGGCCATGGCGATAATAACGAATAGTGCGCGTTCCCGCGGCGTATTGAATTTCCGGGTCTTTAAAAAACAATAATCGTCCTGTTAACATTGTAAACCCAATGCGGCGAACGCGGATGTCCGCAGCCGGGACGGGCAGATACCGTGATTGGACGGGAATGCTCGGCGTTTTCCGTGTACGAAAATCGAATCGTTTTCGCACAGTCGCTTTGCGGACCGCCGGAGAAAACGGTCGGAATCCGAACGAGCGCGCGAGAAGCGGCCGGTCTTCTGTTCCGGGTCCGCCGATAAAATACGGTAAAGATTTTTTTTTTTTTTTTTTTACGGGCCCTTCGTATAAAAAAAAAAAATAATAATAATAATAACGGGTACGAGACGACAAACGCACGCTATTTTATACGACAATAATATCCGTTTGATACGTCGCGTTAGCGGGCGCATTACACGGGTACGCGGGTACGTACACGCGTATTATTATGCGTAAAAGGAGGCCACTCGAGACATCAAAGAAAACGGTTCGCCTGACGACTGACGGGCGGCGCACCTGCAGCCCGCGATAATGTCGTTATCGGCGGCGGCGGCGGAGTCGTTGAAATTTTCGCGTGTCGCTACGCGCACGACGCGCCGCGGTTTCGTTTCGGATGCAATAGTCACTCGTTGTTGTTATTATTGCGCATATATGAGAGAGAGAGAGACAGAGTGAGAGAGTGAGAGCGAAGAGACTGACGGTTCAGAGCGGTATAGCAAAGGGTATTTAAATGAAAGAAATAAAAAAAAAAAAACAAAAACGAACGTGCGTATTAGCGTAGCCTTTTTGTGTTTTGTCCGACGGCTTTTTTTTTTTTTTTTTTTTTTTATGTCGCGCCGGCCTCCGCGTGTAATTCTCGCGACGATGCGGGCTGACTCTCCGTCCAAAGTACGCCTATAATACACGCGCAATATTATCATGAGGGCCGGAATAATGAAAAAAGAAAAACGAAAAAAAAGTTTACTCGACGCGGTACACAATAATAATAATGTTACGATCGTCACTCCGGTACTTTGTTATCTGCACGGTGCACGATACATTGTGTTAATATAGTATACTCGGTATACGATAATGGTATCCGGTAAAATACGAAATCCTCCGCCGGAGGATTGTTCGCGTGTGGGGTTTCTCTCTTTTTATCTTTCTCTCTCTCTCTCTCTTTCTATCCCTCTCTTTCTCTCTACGCGTTTCCATATTTTTCGCGG